ATGCGGTCATGGTGTGGGGGGACTTGTGACCCCCCCCCCCCTGCCAGGCCCGTGATTCACCCCCAGCGAGCCGCTGTGGACAGCTGCGGGGTCCCGGTAACAGAGTGGGTGACAGAGTCATTTCCCAGCACTGAAATGTGTGAGCATTTCTCTCGCAATCTGTTAAAAGAACAACAAATAAATGGAATGAAAAGTGCGATCCTGTGTTTATTTTTAAGGAACGTGTTTAACAAACAGATTCGCTTTGAGACTGCAGTTCTGGCAAAAACCCTGCTGCTCAGCAGAGCAGAGACAATCCTGCCGTAAGTGGGTGAGCTGGAGTTGGCACTCGCCTGCCTGTGCCCTTCCCCATGTCCCCTCCTCCCGGCCACTCGTGAGAGCCTGGAAGGTCCTGGAGCTCTCAGCCAGATACAGAGCCCAGCTGGGTTTAGAAGAAGGTCTGAGGTGGTTAAAGACCGTGGGGCATTGGTGGCGGAGAAGCTGGAAAATTTGAGGACTGATGGTTGGCAGCCCATGTGGCTGGTGGGGCAGGAGGTTGGGAGAGGAGCCCCGGGGCAAAGGGTGGATGGAGAGGTCTCCTCCAAAACGAGCAGCTGAAGAAGGGAAAACAGAAAACTGCTGAATGGGGTGAGGAAGGAGCAGCATAACTGGGGCTGGCAGTGCGGGGGGGAAAGAGGAGTTGCTGGGAAAGGGCTGGGGGAAAAGGGATGAAATGAGAGGAGGTGCTGGGGGAGCAGTGGTGGCTGTGGGCAGCAAGTGGCCGGGAGCCAGCAGGGCCACGGAGAAATCGCGGGGAGGCAGGGGAAGTGGAAGCAGCGCTGACTGGAAGCCCTGAGTAAGAAACACCCGAGTGTTTTGGTGGAAGCTGGTCACCCATGGGGAAGAGAAAACTTGCGGGAAGCACTGATGCACTACCAAGAGGGGAAAAAGGAGAGCTCCCACTACTCCACTGCCGGTTACTGGGCAGCCCCAACTGCTGGGGGTGTTTGCTGTGTGGAAAACGAACTGTGCATGGGCAGCAGGTCTACTACATTTTTTTCCTTACACATAAAACACGATGGGAATTGCTCCCAAATGTGTGTTTATGTTATAGGTATATATACAAATATATGTATACACATATATTTATGTGTAGGTCTGTCTGTACAGGTATATATGTCTATGCATGAATATAAATGTATGTATGGGTATGCTTGTCTCTTATAGGCATATTTTAGGAGAATATGCATACCTGCACCCACGGCTCCACATCCTCCCGCTTTGCTGCTCCAGGGGCTTCCTGCTCTGTTTTCTGTGGGAAAGGGGGGAGTGACTGTGCTGGGGGGCACGGGCAAAGGCTGCCCCAGCCCCAGGCTGGCCCAGAGCTGTGGGGCAGGGGATGGGAGACAGTGAGGTGGCTCAGCCCTACGGCACCTGTGCTGGGAGTGGTGGGCATGGGGGTGGGTGCGTGTCTGAGGGAGGGGCGGGTGTTTGTGGATACATGTACGTCTGTGCATGTGTGTGTGTGTGTGCGTGTACAGGTGCCCCTGTCTCTGTATGTGTGTGCATGTATGTACACGTATGGGTATGTATGTCTTTATGTGCATGTATGAATGTGTATGCACATGTATAGGTATGTTTATATCTGTATTTATGTATGTATGTACGTGTGTGTATGTGTATGTACATACATGCGTCTGTAGGCAAGTGTGTATGTGTATGCATGTATATGCGTGTCTATGGGCAAATTGTGTATGTTGACACCTGCGTGTTTATGCATGTATGTATATATATCATAGAATCATAGAATCATAGAATCATAGAATCATGGAATGTTTTGGGTTGGAAGGGACCCCT